GCCCGCGCCGCGGCCCGCACACAGGCGTCGTCAAACCTCGGCTCTGCGGCTCTGCAGTCCCGGACCCGCAGCGTCACCCTAGAATTTCCTTCTCAGCATTTCACTTCCCCGGGGAGGAAGGGAGAGGGGGAGAAAAGAAAGGAAACTGAGAGCGCCTAAGCAGGGAAATCATCTCAGCCCCGTCTGAGATACCCTTTTGCTCCAACTCCGGGTAACTTAAGAAGAGTCTGCACAAAGCTCGGGGCTCGGGGAGGAGTCCCGGAGTGGAATGTACAAAAGTCAGTTGTGCCGGCCAAAAATTGAGGTGGAAATTCTATCCCGCACCCAGCCCTTGCTCACAGATTCTGAACTTGAGCTGAGGAGTGTTACTTTAGGTCAGCCGGAGCTCTGAGCAGGCAACAGGGTAACCTGCTGGCTCGGTGCGTTTCGCCTCTTCAACCTTAAGTACCAGCCTCTTTAGCCTACAGCACGGTCAGGGCCCCACATGGAGACCCTTTCGTTTGCCCTGTGGATTTCCACTCGCTCAGAGGTGTAACAGCTCTGTAGGCTTTAGTTTCTTTCTTTCTTTCTTTCTTTTCTTTCTTTCTTTCTTTCTTTCTTCTCTTCTCTTCTCTTCTCTTCTCTTCTCTTCTCTTCTCTTTTCTTTTTTAAAATCAAGATTAGCAAAGACTTATTTCATTCATTACCTATTTACTGAGTATCAGACACCGTGCTAGGCAGAACCCCAAGCACGGTTCAGGCAGTTTCTGAAAGCATTTTATTTCGTTGAAATATGCAGTGACCGGCTGCATAACAATACTTAATGTATTTTAAATACATGCATTTCTTCTCCGACTGGCTATAATAACTTCCTTAGGGCTCATCTGAACTATACTGGCAAGGATGGTTTAAAGACAGTGAATTCTGCAGCTTATCAATTACCAGGTACTGGCCTTAAGATGAGCTATGACCTTTTAAATATATTTAAAATTGTTATCCTTAACTGATCACAATGCTGAGACTTCTGGCGGGGTTTTATGTAGAGCATCTTTGGACTACACATTGATTCCTCTTTTGCAAGCCTACATTTTAGGAAAAAGTTTCCTTCTATTTGCTTTTTTCCAAAACCCCAAAGGCCGTGGTATCATTGGGTCTATGAGGCAGCACCTTTGTCAATTTTAAATTATTGAATCCTATGCAAACCTCAAAGGGAAAAGAAAAGAAAAAAGCGACGCTTGTTCTGATCTTTGCTCTAAAAATGCCTGGGCCAATTGGTTTTTTTAGTTGTTGATTTTTCAAGGAACCCTTTCACACACAGCCAGGAAGGTAGAATGTCAAGAGGCTGTCGCTTTGCATTTTCTCAATCTGAAAATGTGTGCAAAGCAGCAACACCTGTAAACTCAGACCTATGACAAGACATGTAAATGAAATGATAAATACAAAACCCCTTTAAAATACTAA